GTTCCTTATCAGGTAGATTACAAAAAACTCAGTAACTTTAGAGCTTTCGAACAATTGACTATTCTTCTTTAGCTTGATGTCTTTTGGTCTTTTGAAATGTACTTGACTTTTAGATGATTCTTTGTGCTAATTGTTTCACCATGAATGTTTCAAAGTTAAGCCTAAGTTCTAGAATAGAGGCCTAAACATGAAATAAAAGTTACCACTAAAATAAAATAGGACACACTGAAATTGATAACCATTTAGATCAACAATAAACAATGTAATAAATGGCTTTCCATACACTTAGCCACACTAATCAGCCTAGTACTAAGCCTAGGATGGTCAATAGAGAGGTCATTTAAGGAAACCGGTGATTTAAGGCTATTTCGTTAGATCTCTATGAATGAATGAAAAAACAACAACAATAAATGAAAATCTGACATGATGAAATCTATATAGATTATACTATGATGGTACCATACTGGTCATTATATCATCCTTATTACATTTACTCTTTTTTGCACAAATGATATTTTTAACATGAGATTCAATAGGTAAATCATCTTGTAATGCGTTGTGATTCAACTTCAACTGTATCTTTGGGCTTTACTGTGCTGTTAGTTTCACAATATATTGAAACTAATGATTTCTTATATATTATTCCAATCCCCCTGTTTGAAGATAACGATACTATTTTGCTCGTTGTTGTTTTATTTTTCGCTGTCAGTACAGTAATCAGTTGACGAATCTCCGATTCAGCTTGGTATGTCAAATCGATTGGAATATCTTCGTATAAGTTCTTCCCTCAACCAACCGGTACCCATGGTTTATCTTAATCGCTACGCTTAAACCATCGCATTCCCAAACATATCTAGAACATTTCAAGCATGTTATTTTCCATGTTGGCTCTCATAGTCTCGGATCAGGTCACGGATCTAGTTCAGAGACCTAGACCACGTGCCAAATGTCTTCTTTATTTGTCTAATCTAACCGACCCAAATCTTTTCAGAATGACTCTTTTTTTTTTATTCACATGAAGATGCTGTGCTGGCTCGTGTGGCAGGTGTTAACTTAATTGATCTGATTTAATTTGTATTTTAAAAACAAGAGGAATTTCCTTGATTGAACACAGGTTTACTGCACATTTGTGTCACTTGTCTTGACAAATTCAATCTGCTATATATTCCTATATTTGTTTTGATTATAAGTTAAACTTCAGTAGAAAACAATGAAATGTTAAGAGTTATAGGCTTAGAATTACACACAAATAATCTTTTAACATACTGTGATGTTTCCTCCTCCTCTTTTGTTTCTATCTTAAGTCGAATTAATTTTTTCCTTCTCCATTTTTTTAGTCGTCTCTTCTAGGATTTACAATTTTTGTCTAAAATGCTTCTATCTATTTGTAGCCTACTTTCGTATGTAACTATCTATCTTAAATCCAGTACATCTCAGTTTGTCAGAAATTCAATATTTCTTGAACTCAGTTTCACCAATTTCTTGTTCACAAAACAAATCTTTTATCTAATCTCCTCAAAAATTGATTAAAATCAGAGAATAATTCGAGTTCCACGAACAATATCTGAAGAAACCATACTGAAATATTTTCTTTTCCTCGATACTTTTCAGCTTTCTTTTAAATGTTCTTGTTCAATGCAATACTGGAATTACTGCATGTTTAGGTGATTTGTTTGTTGTTAAGCGCAAAGCTTTACAACAGGCTAATCGTGCTCTAGCCACCTCGGCTATCGAAACTTGATTTATAGCGTTATAAACCCTATAACTTATCGCTGAGCCACCGGGGACATTTGAATAAAACTATTTGCTTTTTACTTCGGTAAAATCTTAGAAGGATGATTTCCATGTGTGTAGTAATATTTAAGAAGCAACAATATACGGAAAAATATTAAGTTTTCCAAATATTGTAAAAAGTGCTATTCTATTAAAAGCAAATTCATTTTCCACAGTGAATTGGAAATCGAATCGCTAATTATGTTTCAAGATGGGCAAGTAAAAAATAATTATATTTGTTTGCAGTAGGCCTACCCGTTAATTAAATAATTATTTTACTTTTTTTCATTTGTTATAGTGTTACTGTAATAATACTTGCGCAAGTTATCTCTTCAAATGTATGATAAAAAATTGTTAAAAATTAAATTAATAATTTAAGAAATATTTGCATGATTTTATACGAATAATATGTAAGTCAAAGTGAAGTGTGCATATAAGTGTTACATAGTTAATTAAACATTTCCATGAGTAACTTACACTGAATTTTTAAATGGAAAGGATTGCTCACACTATTACCAAGCGGGTTTGTTGCTGAACAAGTATAGCGACCTCTCATGGACCGATGAACCTTCTGCAGTACAAGAGACTGGTTACTTATTATAATACCTGCAGAGGTATTTGTACTCAACTCTTTCCTCTCGAATTTCCACACAATATTTGTCACCCATGGATTCGCAAGGATATCACATTCAAAATATACATCATATCCTTCCTGTATATGAGAATGTCTTAATTTACTACCAAGACGAAGGGAGAGTACTGGAACGTCTAGAAAAATACGAAAATACGAAGTGTATGAAGTGTATCAAATCTAGGTGTACGTGTCAAAAGCTTTTACGTTATAAGTACAACACAGTAAACTTTGAACTGTAGAATATCGTGAATAGATTTTCTGAAAATTAAATAGTGTATACAACATATCTGCATAAAATTAAAATTTGTTTGCTAATATTGTATAACAATATGTGGAAAAAATTCAGATGAATTATTTTTTGGAGATATCAGATTCAGATTTACTTAATTAGAGTAAATACTTATGTTTGTTGCTCACAATTTTCAAGAGTAAAGATAATACATAGTAGAGATGGAGAATATATATATATATGTTAGAATATATATATAAAACTGTAGGAAATAAAAGTTAAAGTCCACAGTAAAATACGTTAGAAACAGTTAATTTCCAATACAAGTTAAACGAATAAAAAAATTAATTATTCTTAACGTACGGTGTATTTCAAGTTTCCATCCGTTTTCGATCGCACTTTCCTTTATTTCCGGATTCTCAGCCCGACAAGAAAGGTATTTGCCACTATCTTCCAGAGATGGTTGGAACGTCAGTGTGCTGATGGAGATATTCCCATTATGGGTCGTCCAATTTTTTGTGCGCTTGAGCTTTCTGTTTTCTTTCCACCAGGTTATTACAGCTGGAGGTCTCGATCCTGATGTTCTACATTCCAACTCGGTTAATCTTCCAGAAATTAGGGGTTCATAGGCTCCATCTATCTCTAGTTGAACAGGCCTAACTGTTATGTAAAACGAGGTGTTTTGGTTAATTAATAGTTTTCTAAACTTTACCTGCAAATAACGTTTAAAAGAAAGACTATAAAATTAGTATAGTTTCAGGTTCTACGTTTTGCACTTTAAAAGTTAGTAAATCCATTATGAACCATAGTAACTTGTATGTTAAAAACATACAAATAAGCTTAATCGGTAACTTATATATTAAAAACATATAAGTAAAATTAATAAAAAAAACTTAGAATCTGCATAGAAGAAAATAGCTGTATTATATAAAACACACTTACTCTGGATGCTATAATCACAGTTAAGGATCAGAGTTTCAACAACTCTACTTTGTATTCTATCTACAAATGTTTTAAGCAAGGTAGGTATTGAACGTACTTACGATTTAAGTCGATTTTAACTGAGGAAGATATCGGAAGAGATATATTGTTATTCGAAGCTCGACAAGTAAAAACAACCATAAGGTCATTGCGATGAAGAGGAGGAACATGTAACTGGTTGAATGTTATTTTCTGTGGCGTTACTTCATACGATTCATCGATGAGCTCAGATTCCTTCCACCACGTCAAGGAAGGCAGCGGATTCCCTGCAAGTGATATGATAAGCGTATCTATCAAAATGTAATAGTACTGTCTGTTGTCTATTGTATGTTCACATAACTACTTCGCAGAGTGTGGATGGATCTCCACCAAATTGGAGTACGGGTACACACAAATTATCAGTTTGGCATTTTGTGTTTTTTACCACTACCTCACCTAATATGGATGGATCTTCACCAAATTTGGTATGGAGGTTCATTAGGTTCATGGAGAGATACATACAAACTTTCAGTTTTTGCATTTTGCGTTTTGTCGGTTTTTATGGGCGTTTTTTACCATTACTTCGCCCCCTGTTGATGGATCTTCACCAAATTTGGTATGGAGGTTCATTAGGTTCATGGAGAGATACATACAAACTTTCAGTTTTTGCATTTTGCGTTTTGCGGTTTTTATGGGCGTTTTTTAC